GGTTGCTGTATGGTGGCGTGGCGTAGCATGATATGCGCTGACATCACCACTTGTGACATGTCACGCCATGGCATGATGTTGGCGGCTTGACAAGGCACGTGCATTGATAGGGAAGCTGTTGGTGTGCTCTTGGGGGCAACGGCGGGGACAAGGGGTGCTGTGCAAGGCCCTGATCTTGAGCTGTGAACCCCAACCACCAAGCTAGCATGCCGCCGGGCGCGCCCCCATCCCAGCACCGCCGCACCTGCAGCCCCGCGCGGTCGCGCCGCAGGCAGATGGGGCCCATCACGTGCGGCACCGCGCGGCCCGCCAGCTCCTGCTCCGGCATGCGAACCTGCGGCCTCGCCGGGTGGGGCAGCCAAGGCGCGCGCTTGGTTGCAGGCGCTAGACCACATAGTGTTAGGGCAGGCCTGCACAGCTGTCGTGCTTCCGTCGCCCCCCAAAGACTGCCGCAACTAGATCCGAACACAATTTCGGCACTCTTCACGTCAGAGCCGACCCAATCGGGACCCGAACGACTTGAAGCCCGTGACCATAAACCCTGGACACGTCAGTGCAGAGCGCTCATGACTGCGCCCCGCCCACCAGGCCCGCCAGCTCGCCCAGCAGCGCCGGCCGCTCCGCCAGGCTGGCGCCCACGTGACGCAGCAGCGGCGCGCTGCAGGGGCCGCGCATCAGCAGCTCCTGCGGGCGCCGGAGGGCGGGTATGGAGACCAGCAGGTGGCTGACATGTGCGGTGTTTCCGGCTTTGGGCTTCGAGGGGATCAACGGCGCTGCCAATCACCAACAGCAGCACGCAAACCAGGAACGGCAACCAAAATCATTGGGCGTGCCGCGAGGGGCGCACTGAGTCCAGCTATCACATCGCACGGCCTTGGAAGGCAGCCCATTTTGGGGTGGGGTGCGGGGTTTCAAGGTAAGGTTTGAGGGGTTGCTGGGCTGGAGGCAGGCGCCGGGGGCCTCGTGACCCCTCACCTGCAGCGTCACCCCCGCAGACGCGGCCCTGTGCTGCAGCAGCTCGGCCGCCACCGCAGCCACCTGCGACCGGGACGAGCGCGACGCAGCGTCGCGTTTTGAGCGAGGGCGCCCCCGTGCACACTTGAATTTCAGTGCAGGCTCCAGTGGGGCTGGGAGACGGCCCCGCAACGCCGCCAAATAAATTTTTGAAACCTCAAAGCCTGAAACCAAATCGGCCCCAACACAAGCGGCACAGCATGGGCAATGCAGGTTTTGAGCGGACACCTGCGCATCATCATCCGCAGAGTGGTCAGCCAGCGCCACTAGCAGCGGCGCCTCCGCCTCCCGCCCCGCCAGTGCGCTGCCCAGTGCCGCTGCGCCGCGCAGCAGCGCCGCGCGCTCCGACTGCAGCGCAGCGGCGGCCGCCGCGGCGGCAGGCGCGCCGTCCTGCGTCGCCGCGGCCGCCTCCAGTGAGCGGCGCCGCGCATCCGACAACGCCTCAAGGACCAGCCTGACGGCGGGGTGCGCCCCAGTCGCCGCCGCAACGCCCGCAGCTGCTCCTGCTTCGCCGTGTGCCTCACCACCGCCGCCGCCGGCTGCCGGCGAGCCGGCAGCGGGCAGGCGCAGCAGCGCCGGGAGCGCGCCGAGCGCCGCGTCGCGCACCACAGCCTCCCGCGACCGCAGGTGGACGGCCGTCGCTGCAGCGAGGCTCTCCGCCGCGCCCACCTCGGCGGGCCCGGCGGCGGCGCCCGCCTCTCGCAGCGCGAGCTGCTGCGGCCCGCCGGCGCGTCGTAAAAACGCCCCCAGCGCCCACAGGGCCGCTGCAGCGACGCGGGGGCGGCCGTGCCACAGCAGCGGCTCCAGCAGCGGCCAAACCTGCTGCAGGCCCAGCTGCGGCGCGCCGCTGCCGCCGCCGCCGCCGCCGCCGCCGCCGCCGCTGGCGG